TCTCATCTCAAAACTTTTATATTTGAGACAATAAGCAACTGTTCATATAAACTGGTAATGTTTTAGAGTGTGTTTGTTTCGGTGCTAGAAAAAAACGTTTTTGGGAATGTGACGTTGAAATATTTTTATTTATTTGGTTGGTGGGAAAGTAAAAAAATTCTTTGGAATAAATAATACTAAAAAATATAAATTAGTCATGAAATATTTATTCTCATATCTAAGGGTGGGAATCATATATTTCAGCACAAATGATAATAGTGATGCTAGAGACATATCTATAAAGGATTTGGAGTACTCTATACCATAGAAGATTGATACTTATATAAACATTTAAAGCAATTACAAATCTATTATATTATTTAGCGTTTTACTATACAAACATAAATACAAAAAAAAATATGTTTCTTTGTAATGATGCATTGTTCTTTTAGTTTAAAACAATTTGGTACAATAAGTTTTAGACAATATAGTCTTATAGATCAACTGCTCATGTGAAATAGGTGGATGAAAACTAGATACCTTGACATCCAGGAGCATATACTCCTCAACCGAGAAGCAATGTGTGTAGATATTAAAAAAGAAATATTTTGAATCTATTATACTCATAATCTCTTTATTAGAAGTTTTCTATTTGTTTGTTCATGTATACCTATTTTTCATTCATCCTAACATTCATAGATATAATGTACTATCACTTAATTATTATTCTCAGCCAAAGTTTTTCAAATTTGACTATTAAAAAAGAAGTAATGATATCTCATTTCAAAACTTTTATATTTGAGACAATAAGCAACCGTTCATATAAACTGGTAATGTTTTAGAGTGTGTTTGTTTCGGTGCTAGAAAAAAAAGTTTTTGGGAATGTGACGTTGAAATATTTTTATTTATTTGGTTGGTGGGAAAGAAAAAAAATTATTGGAATAAATAATACTCAAAAATATAAATTAGTCATGAAATTTTAAATATTTATTCTCATATCTAATGGTGGGAATCATATATTTTAGCACAAATGATAATAGTGATGTTAGAGACATATCTATAAAGGGTTTGGTGTACTCTATACCATAGAATATTGATACTTATATAAACATTTAAAGCAATTACAAATCTATTATATTATTTTGCGTTTTACTATACAAACATAAATACAAAAAAAAATGTTTCTTTGTAATGATGCATTGTTCTTTTAGTTTAAAACAATTTGGTACAATAAGTTTTAGACAATATAGTCTTATAGATCAACTGCTTATGCGAAATAGGTGGATGAAAACTAGATACCTTGACATCCAAGAGCATATACTCCTCAACCGAGAAGCAATGTGTGTAGATATTAAAAAAGAAATAGTTTTAATCTATTATATTCATAATCTCTTTATTAGAAGTTTTCTATTTGTTTGTTCATGTATACCTATTTTTCATTCATCCTAACATTCATAGATATAATGTACTATCACTTAATTATTATTTTCAACCAAAGTTTTTCAAATTTAACTAATAAAAAAGAAGTAATGATATCTCATCTCAAAACATTTATATTTGAGACAATAAGCAACTGTTCATATAAACTGGTAATGTTTTAGAGTGTGTTTGTTTCGGTGCTAGAAAAAAACGTTTTTGGGAATGTGACGTTGAAATATTTTTATTTATTTGGTTGGTGGGAAAGTAAAAAAATTCTTTGGAATAAATAATACTAAAAAATATAAATTAGTCATGAAATATTTATTCTCATATCTAAGGGTGGGAATCATATATTTCAGCACAAATGATAATAGTGATGCTAGAGACATATCTATAAAGGATTTGGAGTACTCTATACCATAGAAGATTGATACTTATATAAACATTTAAAGCAATTACAAATCTATTATATTATTTAGCGTTTTACTATACAAACATAAATACAAAAAAAAATATGTTTCTTTGTAATGATGCATTGTTCTTTTAGTTTAAAACAATTTGGTACAATAAGTTTTAGACAATATAGTCTTATAGATCAACTGCTCATGTGAAATAGGTGGATGAAAACTAGATACCTTGACATCCAGGAGCATATACTCCTCAACCGAGAAGCAATGTGTGTAGATATTAAAAAAGAAATAGTTTGAATTTATTATATTCATAATCTCTATATTAGAAGTTTTATATTTGTTTGTTCATGTATACCTATTTTTCATTCATCCTAACATTCATAGATATAATGTACTATCACTTAATTATTATTTTCAACCAAAGTTTTTCAAATTTAACTATTAAAAATGAAGTAATGATATCTCATCTCAAAACTTTTATATTTGAGACAATAAGCAACCGTTCCTATAAACTGGTAATGTTTTAGGGTATGTTTGTTTCGGTGCCAGAAAAAATAGTTTTTGAGAATGTGAGGTTGAAATATTTTTTATTATTTGGTTGGTGGGAAAGAGAAAAAAATTCACTGGAATAAATAATACTCCAAAATAAAAATTAGTCATGAAATCTTAAATATTTATTCTCATATCAAAGGGTGGGACTCATATATTTCATCACAAATTATAATAGTGATGATAGAGACATATCTATAAAGCATTTGGAGTACTCTATACCAGAAAAGATTGATACTTATCTAAACATTTAAAGCCATTACAAATCTAATATATTATTTATAGTTTTACTATACAAACATAAATACAAAAAATTAGGTTTTTTGTAATGATGCGTTGTTCTTTTAGTTTAAAACAATTTGGTACAATAAGTTTTAGACAATATACTCTTATAGATCAACTGCTCATGCGAAATAGGTGGATGAAAATAAGATACCTTGACATCCAGGAGCATATACTCCTCAACCGAGAAGCAATGTGTGTAGATATTAAAAAAGAAATATTTTGAATCTATTATATTCATAATCTCTTTATTAGATGTTTTCTATTTGTTTGTTGATGTATACCTATTTTTCATTCATCCATAAATTCATAGATATAATGTACTATCACTTAATTATTATTCTCAACCAAAGTTTTTCAAATTTAACTATTAAAAAATAAGTAATAATATCTCATTTCAAAACATTTATATTTGAGACAATAAGCAATCGTTCCTATAAACTGGTAATGTTTTAGGGTGTGTTTGTTTCGGTGCTAGAAAAAAATGTTTTTGGGAATGTGAGGTTGAAATATTTTTTATTATTTGGTTGGTGGGAAAGAAAAAAATTAATTGCAATAAATAATACTCCAAAATATAAATAAGTTTTGAAATTTTAAATATTTATTCTCATATCAAAGGGGGGAAATTATATATTTCTGCACAAATGATAGTAGTGATGCTAGAGACATATCTATAAAGGGTTTGGAGTACTCTATCCCAGAAAAGATTGATACTTATATAAACATTTTAAAAAATTACAAATCTATTATATTATTTAGCGTTTTACTATATAAACATAAATACAAAAAAAAAAATGTTTCTTTGTAATGATGCATTGTCCTTTTAGTTAAAAATAATGTGGTACAATAAGTTTTAGAAAATATAGTCTTATAGGTCAACTGCTCATGCGAAATAGGTGGATGAAAACTAGATACCTTGACATCCAGGAGCATATACTCCTCAACCGAGAAGCAATGTGTGTAGATATTAAAAAATAAATATTTTGAATCTGTTATATTTATAATCTCTTTATTAGAAGTTTTCTATGTGTTTGTTCATGTATACCTATTTTTCATTCATCCTAACATTCGTAGATATAATGTATTATCACTTAATTATTATTCTCAACAAAAGTTTTTCAAATTTAACTATTTAAAAAGAAGTAATGATATCTCATTTCAAAACTTTTATATTTGAGACAATAAGCAACCGTTCCTGTAAACTGGTAATGTTTTAGGGTGTGTTTGTTTCGGTGCTAGAAAAAAAGTTTTTGGGAATGTGAGGTTGAAATATTTTTTTTATTTGGTTGGTGGGAAAGAAAAAAATTCATTACAATAAATAATACTCCAAAATATAAATTAGTCATGAAATTTTAGATATTTATTCTCATATCAAAGGGTGGAAATCATATATTTCAGCACAAATGATAATAGTGATGCTAGAGACATATCTATAAAGGGTTTGGAGTAGTCTATACCAGAAATGATTGATAATTATATAAATATTTAAAAAAATTACAAATCTATTATATTATTTAGCGTTTTACTATACAAACATAAATACAAAAAAAAAATATGTTTATTTTTTTAATGATGCATTGTTCTTTTAGTTTAAAACAATTTGGTACATTAAGTTTTAGACAATATACTCTTATAGATCAACTGCTCATGCGAAATAGGTGGATGAAAATTAGATTCCTTGACATCCAGAAGCATATACTCCTCAACCGAGAAGCAATGTGTGTAGATATTAAAAAAGAAACATTTTGAATCTATTATATTCATAATCTCTTTATTAGAAGTTTTCTATTTTTTTTGTTCATGTATATCTATTTTTCATTCATCCAAACATTCATAGATATAATGTACTATCACTTAATTATTATTCTCAACCAAAGTTTTTCAAATTTAACTAATAAAAAAGAAGTAATGATATCTCATTTCAAAACTTTTATATTTGAGACAATAAGCAACCGTTCCTATAAACTGGTAATGTTTTAGGGTGTCACTACGCCAAAAATGATTTTTTGTATCACCTAATTTAATAGCACTTTTAAAAAAAATGCTATTAAAATGGAAAAAACACATTTATAATAGCACTTTTTAATCGGGCGCTATTATATAATACAGACTATGTAATTTTGATAGCACTTTGTACCAAAACGCTATTATTAAACTTCTTTAAGATAGCACTTTGTACCAAAACGCTATTATTTGACTACCTATATAATAGCATTTATTAAAAAGCGCTATGTTATATATAATAATGAATTAATTAATTAATTGATAAAAAAAAAAACATTGGTATTATTGATATAAATTGGGGATTTGGCGCACAAAGAGAAAAAGAAGAAGAAGTTTGGAAAGTGAAAATCGAAAAGAATGGACGATTACACGAGAGAGATGATGGACCTCAAAACCCTCGTGACTCGCACTCTTGAGAAGAAAGGCGTTCTCACTAGGATCCGAGTATTTCATTGTTCTTCTCCCTTTTCTTCATTTTTAGGGTTTTCTTATTCAGATCCATAATTTTCAATTCTTCTTCATGTTTCAGGCTGAATTAAGAGCTAGTGTCTTTGAAGCTATCGAAGAAGAAGATCGTGTCATCGAAAAGGATCAAGCTCTGCCTCCTGCATTGTTAGGTAGCTGTAACGATCGTGCTAAACAGCTTCACGCTTCTCCTTCTGGTAATTCACCTTTTTCATACTCATTTTCTGTTTATATACTCAGTTTCAATGGCTAACTTTACTTCGCAAGAAGTTACTGCACTTCAAGAAGGAGGGAATCAGGTTTCCATGCCTTTTTGTGCGAAAACTTGTGCTGTTTATTTCTTCAGTCTGCATGATATCATATATTTCTTGAAGTTTATTTCAGCTTTATCTAATACTTGCAGCGTGCAAGAAATGTTTATTTTAAAGAATGGGATGGACAACAGCATTCTTTCCCTGACAGTGAGTAAGTACTTGCTTGTACGTTTTAATATATTGCTGCAGAGTGCATTATTCATTTATTCTGTCATAACTTGTTATGGAATAGCATTAGTTTTGGACTGCGGAAGCAGCTCAAAAACTAAACATTCCAAGGATTTACTATTACAGCTCAAGCTATTTCTCCAACTGTGCAGCTCACTTTATCATGAAGTATAGACCACATGATAATTTAGTTTCTGATACGCAAAAATTCAAAATTCCTGGTTTGCCTCATACCATTGAGATGACCCCTCTGCAGATTCCTGATTGGGTAAGGGAGAAGAATGCCGCCACAGCCTATTTTGAACCAATGTTCAAATCTGAGGTAAGAAGCTATGGGACACTATACAATAGTTTTCATGAACTTGAAAGTGAATATGAGAAGCTTAGTAAAACTAGAATGGGGATCAAATCATGGAGTGTTGGACCAGTTTCTGCTTGGGCTAACAAGGATAATGAAAGAAAGGTCAATAGGGGACAAATAGAGGAGCTTGGAAAAGAGGCAGAGTGGCTAAATTGGCTTAACTCAAAGCAAAATGAGTCTGTACTTTATGTAAGTTTTGGAAGCCTAACTAGACTCCCTCTCTGTGTTGTTTGTGAGCGTTATGATGTCTTTGTGTTAACGGATATTCGTGATTTTGAGTAGTTGTAATGAGAATCTTAAACATGGCGATGGTGACGACAAGAAGAAAAGAACAACATGGACTGGAGAATAACATAGGTATCTGAAATATTTTACTTCAATTTAGGTTTTGATCATGTACTATTGTCTAACTATGAATTTAAATGTTGTCGGTGTTTCACTATTTTTACAATGTTGTCGGTGTTTCACAGTTTTTATTTCTTCAATATTTGAAACAGGGAAACAAAATATATTTTGAAGAAGACAAAATAGGAGAACTTGATTCCTGGTGTGGTGTGACTGCAAAAGAAATTATTTTAAGAAATACCTGAAAAAATTATGTTTCAACCTTATTGTAGTGGCTATTCTCATGAAGCAAACTTTTGCCCTTTGTTATTGCATTGTTGATCTGTTTTAGTTTATTCGGTACATCGTTGTTCTATTATTTTTAGTGTATCTTTTCATGATTATACTTCATACCTGTCTTGGCCTGGTGCGCTTTCAGGTTTGATGCTGGTGGTGTTTAGTTGATGTTAGAGCTCTGTTTAGTTTGTAATATTTGAGTTGCAACATGCTTTTACATGCTTTTGTCTAAATGTTCTAAATATAATATATCCAAGGCTGTTAAATTTGTAATTATACTGATGAAATTGCAAATTTACTGGTTTGCAGCTTAGTGGTTCCTCAGATTTCATGGATTTACAATGCTACAATGAGGTTGCAGCTTTGTTTATGCTTCTAAGATTTGATTTATTCATAATATATTCTAAACTGAGCAAAAATTTTGCAGCTTTGGGTTCTCTTAACAAACTTATTGAAGGATGTGGAACATCAATAACAGTAACTATTAAACATATAGCAAGCATGTTTTTCGATTTTTCTATGTCGGTGTTATTTAAGTGTTATTGATTTAACGTCGTTTCATAATTCATGGTTCTATTTCATATGTTTCTGGTCCCTTCAATGCCTTACTTTTTGTTTATTTTTTTGGCAGCCAGCACATGAAAAAATTGGTGTGGTTGATGAACAATGGATTGTTCATCAAACAATTCCTACTCTTGGTGAACGAGTTAGTCATTATCACTAACTTACATAGATATTTACTGCTACACATTTTCTGATATAATAAACTAAACTGATTGTGCTTTCAACCTGCAATTTTTTTATTAAAAGTAATTCTTAGATCTATATTTACAAATTTCAGGGAGAATATGATCATGGAAAAGACAAATATGATGCGGTATGTTTATTTGACATGAAAACGATATTACTGTCACAATTCTCTGATGTACTGTATGTGAAATTTGTGCGATATAGTAACAAGGAGTTTGTGGTTTTCATCATGTAAACGGGGTCATAATGAGATGCAAGAGTGAGTGGGCAGAATTTCAAACTCGCCTCATCAATTCTGATAAAGGGTATCTTACAGGATTTAGAGGAAGTATGACGAGTTAACATATACTGTTTCCAATTCTGATGTACGTGCATTACTTATATTGATAGACTGCATATAAGTATATTTATCATAGGAAAAAAAGTTACATCTTATATGTATGGCTAATTATCATAAACTACTTGACTTCTGCACCCAATTTTGAACCAAAGCATGCTCACAATAAAGGATTTTGGAGAAGTAGTCTGCATGTGATTCAATATTTGAATGGTTTTGTATCTAAATAGTGCAAGAGTTTCAATCTGCTTTCAGTCATCCACAGTTAGAGTCAATGTAATGAAGAAATTACAAATAGTTAGAGTCGTTGGTGATGGATTTATTGTCGGTGTTCGATCACGGTGGCTGCCGGTGATTATTCTGAGACAAGTTAGTTTTCAACTTTTTTTCCAATTTGCTCTGTTAGTATGATTATGAACTTCGATCGTTTTTCGGGACTACCTGATAACGGAACATTCACTATCGGCTTCACTCCATCAGACACTGATAATCGATTATTCACGTTAGGCATTTGGTTTGCTAGCCTTCCAGGAGATCGAACTTTCGTTTGGTCACCCAATAGGTACATCTGCTATTAACTAATATCACTACTTTCGTATCTTATCCTAGATTTTTCAATAACTGACGTATCTGATACCTGTATCGTGTCCATGTTTCGTTGTTGCACTATCATACTCTCTCAATGAACTGATTAATTTTCTTTTTCAATCCAAACAGAAACTCACCTACATCTCAAGAAGCAATTTTGGAGCTTGACACAACAGGAAACCTCGTCCTCGTCGACAAAAAAGTCACCATATGGGCCTCAAACACATCAAATGCTAATGTAGAATCAGCAACCATGTCAGAATCTGGTAACTTCATCTTTCACAGCACAAACAACCAACCTATATGGCAGAGTTTTTCTCAACCTTCAAACACACTTCTCCCAAACCAGCCTCTAACAGTTTCTTCAGAATTAACATCATCAAAATCCTCATCTCATGGTGGCTACTATGCTCTCAAAATGCTTCAGAAACCAACTTCTTTAAGTCTTGCACTAACTTACAATCTTCCAGAAAGTTACCAAACTTTTGATGAAAATGAATCATATGCAAACTATTCTTATTGGCAAGGTCCTGATATTTCCAATGTAACCGGAGAAGTTATCGCGGTTTTAGATCAAGCCGGAAGCTTTGGAATTGTATATGGAAATTCATCTGATGGTGCAGTTTATGTTTATAAGAATGATAATGATGATGCAGGTTTAGCTTCTGCAATTCATCAATCTACACCGTTAACCGTTCTTAGGAGACTGACACTCGAAGATAATGGAAATCTGAGGTTATACCGATGGGAAGACGTAAATGGATCGAAACAATGGGTGTCACAGTGGGCTGCAGTTTCAAATCCATGTGATATTGGTGGAATTTGTGGTAATGGAGTATGTAAATTGGATAAAACTAAGACTAATGCTTCTTGCACTTGTTTACCAGGAACTTCTAAACTAGGAAGAGATGGACAATGTTATGAGAATTCATCTCTGGTTGGAAAATGTACTAATGGAAAAAACGAAAACAAGACATCGAGTTTTAGAATTTCGACAGTGCAACAAACTAATTATTATTTTTCTGAATCTTCAATAATAGCTAATTATAGTGAGAGTGATGTTTCTTCTGTATCAAAATGCGGCGATGCATGTTTGTCCGATTGTGATTGTGTTGCTTCTGTTTATGGACTAAATGAAGAAAGACCTTTTTGTTGGGTGTTGAGGAGTTTAAGTTTCGGCGGTTTTGAAGATACGAGCTCTACTTTGTTTGTGAAGGTTCGAGCAAATAGTTCATGGACACCAGAAGGACAAGAGGGAAGGTCTAATAACAGTTCTTCTGATGGAATGGGGAGTGCTAAGGAAAAGGCTGTGATTATTCCAATTGTTCTAGGCATGATAGTTCTCATTATTTTACTCACTATGTTACTGTATTACAATGTTCATAGAAAAAGAACTTTGAAAAGAGAGATGGAATGTTCATTGGTCTTATCAGGTGCTCCAGTGAATTTTACTTACCGCGCTTTGCAGATCAGGACAAGTAACTTTTCGCAGCTTCTAGGAACAGGTATGTGTGTCCTATAATGAATTGAATCTTACCGCGTTTTGATTTTAATATAATTTGTTGCTAACTGTTTATATTTTGTAGTTGGATTTGGAAGTGTGTATAAAGGAAGCTTAGGAGATGGTACCTTAGTCGCGGTGAAGAAACTTGATAAGATTTTGCCTCATGGAGAGAAAGAATTTATCACCGAAGTAAACACGATTGGCTCAATGCATCATATGAATTTGGTTCGTTTATGTGGTTTTTGTTCTGAGGGACCTCAGAGGTGTGTACTATTTTATTTACAATTTCATCGTAAGAATTCAAATTTCATCGCTTTAGTTGGCTTAAGCAATGTTTGTTTTGCAGGCTTTTAGTTTATGAGTTCATGAAGAATGGTTCATTGGATCAGTGGATCTTCCCTTCGATTCGAGGACCAGATAGATTGCTCGATTGGCAAACTCGTTTTGATATAGCCAAAAATACTGCACAAGGGATTGCATACTTTCATGAGCAGTGTAGAAACAAGATAATACATTGTGACATCAAGCCAGAAAATATATTGTTAGATGAAAACTTTTGTCCCAAGGTATCTGATTTTGGACTTGCTAAATTGATGGCAAGGGAACATTCTCATGTGGTAACAATGGTAAGAGGCACTAGAGGCTATTTGGCACCAGAATGGGTTAGTAATCGACCGATAACCGTAAAAGCAGATGTTTACAGCTATGGAATGCTTCTTTTCTTATTTTTTTGGTGTTTTGTTTAGAGAATTTGATTGTATGTTTTTGGATTTGGATTGAAGTACTCATAGATGGGCATCTACAAATTTGGCTATGCAAACGCCCTCTTAATATTCTATATGTTATGATATTTGGAAACAATAGGATTTGGTAATTTAAAATGTTATTTGGTATTTGATGGATCATAATATATATGCAATGAGTAACTTAAAGCGTTATTTGTGTTGAATTGAATATAGTTATTTTATATTTACACCAAAAAAAATGATTGTGTAAGAAAAAATATTGTACTGTACTTATTAAAAATATTGTACCAAATATGTACCATTTATTAGCACTTTATTTGAAAGCGCTATCAAACATATGTTATATATTAGCGCTTTTTGTTTAGAGTGCTATAAAAAAACAAACAAAAAACATGCAAAATACTGACTTTGATAGCACTTTAATTAAAACGCTATTATAAATTGGTACTTTAATAGCGCTTTTAAAGTGCTATTAAATAAGAAATATTTACAATAGTGGCGCGGTTAATAGCACTTTTAAGCGCTATCAAAAACAAAAAAAAGCGCTATTAAATAGCTTATTTGGCGTAGTGTGTGTTTGTTTCGGTGCTAGAAAAAAAAGTTTATGGGAATGTGAGGTTGAAATATTTTTTATTATTTGGTTGATGGGAAAGAAAAAAATTCATTGCAATAAATAATACTCCATAATATAAATTAGTCATGAAATTTTAAATATTTATTCTCATATCAAAGGGTGGAAATCACATATTTCAGCACAAATGATAATAGTGATGCTAGAGACATATCTATACAGGGTTTGGAGTACTCTATACCAGAAAAGATTGATACTTATATAAACATTTAAAGAAATTACAAATCTGTTATATTATTTAGCATTTTACTATACAAACATAAATACAAAAAAAAATATGTTTATTTTTTTAATGATGCATTGTTCTTTTAGTTTAAAACAATTTGGTACATTAAGTTTTAGACAATATACTCTTATAGATCAACTGCTCATGCGAAATAGGTGGATGAAAATTAGATTCCTTGACATCCAGGAGCATATACTCCTCAACCGAGAAGCAATGTGTGTAGATATATAAAAAGAAACATTTTGAATCTATTATATTCATAATCTCTTTATTAGAAGTTTTCTATTTGTTTGTTCATGTATACCTATTTTTCATTCATCCAAACATTCATAGATATAATGTACTATCACTTAATTATTATTCTCAACCAAAGTTTTTCAAATTGAACTAATAAAAAAGAAGTAATGATATCTCATTTCAAAACTTTTATATTTGAGACAATAAGCAATTGTTCATATAAACTGGAATAAATAATACTCAAAAATATAAATTAGTCATGAAATTTTAAATATTTATTCTCATATCTAATGGTGGGAATCATATATTTTAGCACAAATGATAATAGTGATGTTAGAGACATATCTATAAAGGGTTTGGTGTACTCTATACCATAGAATATTGATACTTATATAAACATTTAAAGCAATTACAAATCTATTATATTATTTTGCGTTTTACTATACAAACATAAATACAAAAAAAAATGTTTCTTTGTAATGATGCATTGTTCTTTTAGTTTAAAACAATTTGGTACAATAAGTTTTAGACAATATAGTCTTATAGATCAACTGCTTATGCGAAATAGGTGGATGAAAACTAGATACCTTGACATCCAAGAGCATATACTCCTCAACCGAGAAGCAATGTGTGTAGATATTAAAAAATAAATAGTTTTAATCTATTATATTCATAATCTCTTTATTAGAAGTTTTCTATTTGTTTGTTCATGTATACCTATTTTTCATTCATCCTAACATTCATAGATATAATGTACTATCACTTAATTATTATTTTCAACCAAAGTTTTTCAAATTTAACTAATAAAAAAGAAGTAATGATATCTCATCTCAAAACTTTTATATTTGAGACAATAAGCAATTGTTCATATAAACTGGTAATGTTTTAGAGTGTGTTTGTTTCGTTGCTAGAAAAAAACGTTTTTGGGAATGTGACGTTGAAATATTTTTATTTATTTGGTTGGTGGGAAAGTAAAAAAATTCTTTGGAATAAATAATACTAAAAAATATAAATTAGTCATGAAATATTTATTCTCGTATCTAAGGGTGGGAATCATATATTTCAGCACAAATGATAATAGTGATGCTAGAGACATATCTATAAAGGATTTGGAGTACTCTATACCATACAAGATTGATACTTATATAAACATTTAAAGCAATTACAAATCTATTATATTATTTAGCGTTTTACTATACAAACATAAATACAAAAAAAAATATGTTTCTTTGTAATGATGCATTGTTCTTTTAGTTTAAAACAATTTGGTACAATAAGTTTTAGACAATATAGTCTTATAGATCAACTGCTCATGTGAAATAGGTGGATGAAAACTAGATACCTTGACATCCAGGAGCATATACTCCTCAACCGAGAAGCAATGTGTGTAGATATTAAAAAAGAAATAGTTTGAATTTATTATATTCATAATCTCTATATTAGAAGTTTTATATTTGTTTGTTCATGTATACCTATTTTTCATTCATCCTAACATTCATAGATATAATGTACTATCACTTAATTATTATTTTCAACCAAAGTTTTTCAAATTTAACTATTAAAAATGAAGTAATGATATCTCATCTCAAAACTTTTATATTTGAGACAATAAGCAACCGTTCCTATAAACTGGTAATGTTTTAGGGTATGTTTGTTTCGGTGCCAGAAAAAATAGTTTTTGAGAATGTGAGGTTGAAATATTTTTTATTATTTGGTTGGTGGGAAAGAGAAAAAAATTCACTGGAATAAATAATACTCCAAAATAAAAATTAGTCATGAAATCTTAAATATTTATTCTCATATCAAAGGGTGGGACTCATATATTTCATCACAAATGATAATAGTGATGATAGAGACATATCTATAAAGCATTTGGAGTACTCTATACCAGAAAAGATTGATACTTATCTAAACATTTAAAGCCATTACAAATCTAATATATTATTTATAGTTTTACTATACAAACATAAATACAAAAAATTAGGTTTTTTGTAATGATGCGTTGTTCTTTTAGTTTAAAACAATTTGGTACAATAAGTTTTAGACAATATACTCTTATAGATCAACTGCTCATGCGAAATAGGTGGATGAAAATAAGATACCTTGACATCCAGGAGCATATACTCCTCAACCGAGAAGCAATGTGTGTAGATATTAAAAAAGAAATATTTTGAATCTATTATATTCATAATCTCTTTATTAGATGTTTTCTATTTGTTTGTTGATGTATACCTATTTTTCATTCATCCATAAATTCATAGATATAATGTACTATCACTTAATTATTATTCTCAACCAAAGTTTTTCAAATTTAACTATTAAAAAATAAGTAATAATATCTCATTTCAAAACATTTATATTTGAGACAATAAGCAATCGTTCCTATAAACTGGTAATGTTTTAGGGTGTGTTTGTTTCGGTGCTAGAAAAAAATGTTTTTGGGAATGTGAGGTTGAAATATTTTTTATTATTTGGTTGGTGGGAAAGAAAAAAATTAATTGCAATAAGTAATACTCCAAAATATAAATAAGTTTTGAAATTTTAAATATTTATTCTCATATCAAAGGGGGGAAATTATATATTTCTGCACAAATGATAGTAGTGATGCTAGAGACATATCTATAAAGGGTTTGGAGTACTCTATCCCAGAAAAGATTGATACTTATATAAACATTTTAAAAAATTACAAATCTATTATATTATTTAGCGTTTTACTATATAAACATAAATACAAAAAAAAATATGTTTCTTTGTAATGATGCATTGTCCTTTTAGTTAAAAATAATGTGGTACAATAAGTTTTAGAAAATATAGTCTTATAGGTCAACTGCTCATGCGAAATAGGTGGATGAAAACTAGATACCTTGACATCCAGGAGCATATACTCCTCAACCGAGAAGCAATGTGTGTAGATATTAAAAAATAAATATTTTGAATCTGTTATATTTATAATCTCTTTATTAGAAGTTTTCTATGTGTTTGTTCATGTATACCTATTTTTCATTCATCCTAACATTCGTAGATATAATGTATTATCACTTAATTATTATTCTCAACAAAAGTTTTTCAAATTTAACTATTTAAAAAGAAGTAATGATATCTCATTTCAAAACTTTTATATTTGAGACAATAAGCAACCGTTCCTGTAAACTGGTAATGTTTTAGGGTGTGTTTGTTTCGGTGCTAGAAAAAAAGTTTTTGGAAATGTGAGGTTGAAATATTTTTTTTATTTGGTTGGTGGGAAAGAAAAAAATTCATTACAATAAATAATACTCCAAAATATAAATTAGTCATGAAATTTTAGATATTTATTCTCATATCAAAGGGTGGAAATCATATATTTCAGCACAAATGATAATAGTGATGCTAGAGACATATCTATAAAGGGTTTGGAGTAGTCTATACCAGAAATGATTGATAATTATATAAATATTTAAAAAAATTACAAATCTATTATATTATTTAGCGTTTTACTATACAAACATAAATACAAAAAAAATATATGTTTATTTTTTTAATGATGCATTGTTCTTTTAGTTTAAAACAATTTGGTACATTAAGTTTTAGACAATATACTCTTATAGATCAACTGCTCATGCGAAATAGGTGGATGAAAATTAGATTCCTTGACATCCAGAAGCATATACTCCTCAACCGAGAAGCAATGTGTGTAGATATTAAAAAAGAAACATTTTGAATCTATTATATTCATAATCTCTTTATTAGAAGTTTTCTATTATTTTTGTTCATGTATACCTAATTTTCATTCATCCAAACATTCATAGATATAATGTACTATCACTTAATTATTATTCTCAACCAAAGTTTTTCAAATTTAACTAATAAAAAAGAAGTAATGATATCTCATTTCAAAACTTTTATATTTGAGACAATAAGCAACCCTTC